ATGGATATATTTGAGTGATGTTGGACGTAACCAGGTCAGGCATGGACGTTCAGAGTTCTAAATTCTTCAATGTGTGTGCTACTGCCACCCCCAAGGTATGCTTGATTCTGGGCCTGCTGCACGTGCTCACCACGCCTCTGCTTTCTGCAGCGAGTTCGTGGAAAAAGCCTTGGAGGATGCTGAGAGATTTCATGCACGTAAAGTCAAGGATCTTCGTGAAACTCTCATCAACTATGTGAAGCTTCAAATTCGAATTTGCAAGAAGGTGAGAACAAACATTGCGTGAATCAGATAAAGATATGTTCGTGATATCTTGAATGTTGCATAATTAGAGGTGCGCCGAAAAGTACCGAGTGATCACTGGCACGACAAGAGTGCACCAACGGAGTGCTCAAGGGACGCGCCCAGTCGTACTTCTCTATCACTGACCCAGTAATGACGTCACTGGATTTTCCGGGGCACGTAGACTATGAGAAGTCGAAGAGGAAAACAGGCCCCCAAACATTTTAAAGGACGGGAAGGCTTGGTGGGACGAGGGCCCTTCGGCGGACGCTTGTACAAGAGATCGCCAGCAGTGCACACGTCAATACACGACTTTGGAAGTGCCCCGATATTAAGGGAGGACTGCCTGGCTGACAGGTACCCGCCCAACTGCCCTGTGCGCGTGCTCCGCATCCGCCCGTGTCGTGACGTCCCGCCTCTGTCGCAGGGACTGCAAACCTGGAAACACTTCCGCGACTGCGTGGACAGCCTGGGCGGCTGCCCCGCCCCGGCGCCGCAGGAGCTGGCCTCCCCCTAGTGGACCGCAGCTGGACGGCCGGTGGAGGGAGGCGTCCCGGCTCTGGGGGCGGCTCGCGGAGCGGCAGCGCAGCGGAGCGGGCGCACTCGCCACCTGGCGACAGTCTCACCGACCAGCCCGGTCGCGCTGACCGAATCTCTTGGCCCTATTCCTGCTTGTTGGTGTCTGCTTTTGACCGCACTCCGGTGATCACGATGGCTATCCAGAGGAGCGGCATGCGGCCCGTGAAGCAGGCGAGGCTTTCCAGGTCCTTTTCCAGTCGTATGTTGTATGGCTGTAAGGGGGGGGGGGGTACTTGTGGACATAAAGGCTGATTTACGTTTACCTCAGCTTCTAGTGATGTGTAACGTTGCGTTGTCGTATGTTCTCTACACTGTTCAACGGGCACGTGTTGTACCTTATTTTCTGGTGTGGTCGCTGCGACAGGGTGAATGGCGGGACCCGCCGGCCGCTGAGGGCTTGGTTACCTGGCACAGGGCGGGGATCTTCGCCGCCGGCGATGTGCTGTCAGTGGAGGACGTGAACTGCTTATTCCATGCCCGCTGAGCTATTTTCTCACCGGGCCATCGCACGATCAACATACGGTCTTGCAGTGTGTTCGTGATGCGCGCCGAAGCTTACGCACTGTTTTGTTATTTTTGAAAAGTACAGATATATGGTTGTGTGTTGGGGTCTCGCACATATATTGTTCGGTGTGCTGCAAACCTCGAACGCTGATCTATGACCAGGCTTTGCCTGGTAAAACAACGGTTTGCCAGTGAGTTCTGTGAAGATACTGAAGGCATTGGTAGGACTGATAGCTCGTCAAACGAGCGTGATCACGGCCTGGGAACTGACGCGTCGCACGTGGGCGGAGAGGGAGGCAGCAACCATGCAGTGCCCTCATGTATTCCCTGACGCCCGTGGGCGCGAGTTTCGCGCAAGTCATTCGAGTCTCCCAAGTAGCTGGGCATTCCTGGTCAGCACTACGCGCGAATGGTGCGACCGCAGGCATACCATAGCACAGTACGAGGGCCAGCGACGACATATTTTATCGACATGGCCCGAAGAAAACGTGGCGGCGCAAAAACGGCAGCAATGTTAAGGGTAGATTAAACGGGACGGCGATTTCAAAAGGTGGCGTATGCACGGCAGCAGTTCAACAGGTGATGTGAATACGGGAGCAATTCAACGGGTGGCGTGAATACGGGAGCAATTCAAGGAGTGACGTAAACACGGCGGCGATGCAGCGGGTGACGATGGCGGCGGCAATTCAACAGGCAACTTGAATGCGACAGCAATTGGGTGGCGTGAATACGGAAGCAATTAACGGGTGGCGTGAATACGGCAGCAAGTTCAACACGTAACGTAAATACGGCGGCAATTCAACAGGTGTAAATGTGCCGGTATCTCAAAGGGTGACGTACATACGCCAGTAATTCAAAGGGTGGCATGCACGAGTGTCGACTTATACTATTTTGGGTGCGCCACTGGTTCCCCAACGTTGATTCTGGCCTCGTAAGCTTCTGGGGCCAAAGCATACGTAAAACATTACAAATGAGAGCTCAAAATATTTTCAAATTATTTGGGCTTCAAACGCTTTTGATAACTGCTTAACAGGTAAAAAGAACAAACTGAACAAACAAAGCGCAATGTGCGATGCCAGTTTCAATTAAGTCCAGCTGACAGAGCCCGTCAAAATTCTAGAGCAACTCGTTCGTGCCATGTTTACTAGAGCATTTTCTGTTTTTGAAGCATGCTGCATGTTTCAGTTGCACAGTTCATGTCTTGTTAACCCTGGCCCAGTTGTGGGCCATTGTCCGAGCGTTTTGGCATTGTTCAGCGATGTTTTAAGTTCTGTAGACTGCAATAAGCTGCGTTTACTGCGAAGTTCCGCCGCGACGTCTTATCGGAGAATTAACCCGCGCTCGGGTAGTGCTCAGTTCTATCCCCCCCCCTTCCCCTCGAAGTTTTTACGGAATAATTTCCGACCGACGCGGTGCAGCCGCGCCGAACCTCGCATAGCCATAGGCAAATGAGTAACGCATTTTTTGGTAAACAAATTATTGCCAAGTCACTGACAAATGACGTGTCAAAGTTAGGCTGTAGTTGTCAACCAAGGCAATTTCTATGAAATCGTTCAATCTGATGCGACATCGGAGTGTTAGACGAAGCTTTACGTCTCGAGATAGTTTCTTCGGCAACAAAGCAACTGAATTGGGACTAAAACAGATATAATTGGTCTAAGGTCGGGTATGCAAGCTAGACCCAGATCAGAACCAACGTGCTTCTTTATTCGAGGGCTTGTTGTGTGGAGTAGTTTTGGTGCTGACTTGAAATTTATTAATAACAGTGCCGCAACAGACATCTTGCATGGACCTTTTAAACGTAAGAGTAGGTTTCTGACCTAAAATGATCCCGATAAAGATTTTGTTTTTAGAAACATACCGTCTAGTGCAATCCTTGACAATTATTCAAACGCAGAAATGACGACGCTTGCGTGATTTGCTTATCATGACCATTTAATGGTCGAACGAAGTCACTAACCTAGAATATCACCAGTGACCTTAAGTGACAAACTCAACCTTGAACCGGGTATCCAGGTTCCCGGTGGTTGCATTAGGAGGTCTGGGGCCACTTTGATATATACCACCATCCTGACCTTTACCCATTAAAAAACAACATTCCTTCACCTATGACCACATCGACCCTCTTATCACTGGAGGCTTAATTAGTTTGGGAGCACATTGGAGGAAAAGCATGCGCAAGCCATAGTCATGCATCTGCCTGGATCGCAGCTCCCGCTTGAGTGCCTAAGTTGCCCCAGTGGCCTGGCGCTCAGGCTGGAACTGCTTCCTATGCATTTTTCACGTCAGGCTCGCGCGCGGGGATCGAATCTGGGTCATTTGCGGGAAAGAATAGCTCAAACTTCAAATCGCGTTCAGAGCTCTTTTCCAATAAAATGCTGGGATAAATCCTGGCTCTAAAACTCTTCGACGGGCACTTGACGACATCAGGTACGAAACCACGCCACACTACGCATCTTGTCTGATTGCATTGACAAATAATGATAAGGCGGTGGCCGCCGTATTCTCGTTTTACGGACTACCACCGCACAATGCTGCGCAGGAAATCTTTAGCAGGGTGAATCAGACAAAACTAGCACTTTAAGACGCCCTAAAATTCATTCCGCGACTTCACGCCGTGCCACAAGTTTGTAGGGGCATGTCACCATGACAACGACAACGACAGCACTTAATTTCGTGGATATTTCAAATTTAGCACTACTGAAATGCTAAGTATGCAGCAGAAACATCTAGAAAGTGGCTCTGGTTTGCTTTCGTTGCCTATTTGAATAGCAAAAGCCAGTCAAGATCTTGCAGCATAAACTACGCTCTTGGATTTTATGGCATTAATTTCTCATAGGCCATATTACTGAGGAAAACTGCATTAGCTCAGCGATCAAGCCGATGAGACGCTATGTTCAGTATGAAGTCTAGTCCCCTGCGAGTATGTCGCCGGTTGCCAGGCTCACTTCACCTATAGGTTGAATAACCGTGGGACTGGCGAGGAAGATTAAATTGACTGCTGATATTCGTTGCAATAAAAGCATGTAGCCGAAATATCAATCCAGCTATCTTTCCATTCTCTTCGTTAATCTACGAGGAACAAGGCAATTAGTACCACCTTATCTGTGTGTATGTTTGTTGCAAATGCGTTCAACACCTTACGTAAAACAACATCTTGATTGCATTTGACGCTGCTCAAAATAGAGGAATAACGGCTCAAAGACGTAGTGCATCTCGCCGCAGTTCAAAATCAAGACTCAGCTCAGCCCACCACATTCAAGACATACCTGAGACTGTTATGACCCATGTGCACCGATGAAGGCAAAAAGAGTCACTTGGTGGCAAAAACAACGATGACTCGGTGCAATAGGAAAGTTAAAGCGACGCCTTAAACATTTTCCGCCACTGAGCCTACCACAATCCAATTGGAATGAATCTGAGATGAGGCGAATGGCCTTCGGCGTCTCCAGATTTCCTTCGCCCGTCCGCAGACACATGTTTCACAATGTCCTCATCGCGCGTCTTGACATCGTCCGTGCAAGCCAGAAGGGACAGCCTGGCCACATCTGAAATGATCACCATCACATCCGTATCCTCATATACGACGTATCGAATTACAGAGTGCATTTTTAAAAAGGGTTGCTAGAGGAGAGCCCGAACCCGTCCCGACGATCTTACAAACCATTCAGTCTGGTAAGGACAAAGTGTGGGTAAAATCAGGCCGGCGTCATCCAGCCTGTGCACAGATTTTCATAAACCTCGGTGAACTTTTCCTTTGTCACCGTATCTAAGGTGATCTCCTAGGATGAGCTGCATAATGGGCTCCAAGGCATATTACTTATCAGCTCCATGGTTTGAACAGCACAACAAACATAATATGTCAGTTGAAGAAGAGATAACACGCAACCAACAAGTACCTGAAAACACGAGTATTTGAGCCTCCCCTCCCCGATACCAAACAGGGTACCACCAGCCGGTACCAATCAGAACACCACCGGGCGGTACCAGTCAGAGCATCATCGGAGGTATCGAACCGAGCATCACCAGTCAGAACCAATCAAAGCACTACCGGCCAGTGTCAATTAGAGCATCACCGACCGGTACCGGTCAGAGCGCCACCGGGCTGTACCAGTTGGAACACCAGCGAGCGGTACCGATCAGGACGCCATCGGCAATATCAATCAGAGCACTATCGGCCGGCACCGGTCAGAGCACCACCGACCGGTACCAGTCGGAGCGCCATGCAATGACCGGAACCAGTCGGAGTACCATCGGGGGTGCCGGTCAGAACACCACTGGTCGATGCCAATCAGAGCACCACCGGCCGGTACCACTCAGAACACCATCGGGTGATACCAATCAGAGCATGCTTTTGTGTTTTTTATCCCTTATCACTTTCCGTCGTTTTTTGACATACTGTTTTATCTGTCAGACCAATGACACGTAATAGCCCCGTATGTATGTGGGGTATCAGCTGAGGTCAAATTCAAATTCAAATGCAAATACAAATACATTAGCATCACCGATCAGTACCAATCAGAGCTGCAGCACCCACGTGGAGAATGTGAACTTCAGGCGGGCTGCAGAGGAAGGTGACAGAGAATGCGAGAGGTAAGCATGATGGTGAGCTCCGGAAATTCCTCAGTGCGCATATGAAGCCGGGCGTGCCTGCCCATGACCAGCCCACAAATCGCGGCGCGAGGTTTACAAGAGAGGCAGACAGCAGCAGCAGCCGCTGTTGCAGTCGACGTGCAGGATATCTACGGCCTCAGCAAGATAACCTTTCCACAGCGCCAACCCGGTCCGGTCAAGGCGGGCTCGAGTCACCGATCTAGTGCCTTAGTGGTTTCCAACTCTTTTCGCCATTTTCGGAATGGCTTATGCAAACTGGTGTATGCTTCAGCGCCAGTGTAGTGAGGTAATATACCACCACACACGGGTGAAAACCACACGCGTCAGCCTGCGGCGAAATTACTGTAATTATAACGATGCTCAATGAAGCAAGTAAATCTGCCATGCTGTTCTGATTCGTATTTTTCATTTGATTCGCGCGTCGAAATTGTCACCCGCGGCTATGAATGTCACAGAAAATTGCTCTACAGATCAGCGTTGCGTGGTCGATGAATCACAATAAACTGGGCCTGCTCGCAATGTTG